TGTTTACTAGCTAGGGCCAATCTATGGGCAAAAAATGAGCAAAATCGATTTTTCGACTTGTGCCGTTGTCAGCACGGGAAATTTGCATTTGCATTTCAGAGGTTTGTGTAAGACTTATTTTATATTTTATATTTTATATGGAAAATCTGTGAAAATTTCAGACTGCCGGGCATTTAGTCACTGCGTAAAATATTTTGTATCTTTCAGGTTAACCTAGGTTCGATTTCTGCCGGTTTCTCCACGTTCGTCACACTGTTGTTATGACGTGTGTGTTATGGTGAATCAAAAACACGTGAATTCAACTCCCGCGAATAATCAGACGCGTAATACCCGCTGTAGAATAGTGACAATACCCGTAACAAATACAATTTGCAAGACTTGTTTCATATTGGTTTGATACATAAGCTTACCTGTACCTGTACATTTGATGTTCTTAGACTCTCCCCCGAATCTGCGAAAAACAAATTGACAAGAAATAAGCTGTACTAAGACAACATCTACTGTCACCCAAGGCAGAGATAATGTTCTTCATAAAATACCTGCTTTACTGTCTTCTGATGAAGCCGAAGAAGGGCAGGCATTGTCAAAGTGTGTATCCATAGCTCTTTCCTACACGACTCGACGAACGAAAGCACAGCGATCGATCATTTGCTAGCGATTTTTTGCTAGCCCGATTCCCGGACTCTCGCATGGAAGCTTGCAGGCTCACTTGCCATTCCACAACAACTCTATCCCAGGCTCTCTCTTCTTATCCTCCCGACGCAAAGTCGAGAGCCTGGGATTGAGGATGTTCTCAGAAAATAATATTGGGGACCTTTTATTGAATTTTCCATTCTGATGTTGTCTTTCGTCACTCTTTCGTCGTCATATATAGGAAGCTTTCGATGAGCTTCCTTTTGGTACGCTTCGGAGGTATTATCAGGCGAGTTTGGTTGAGCCATGGCGAAACAAGGTCGATCCAAAATACCCATTACGAGACCAAATGAACCTGATATACCGCTGAACAGTACTAAAAACGGTACGATAAAGAATTTATCGTAACCCAACTCGGCCCAGATGACCATGATATCGCAAGATACCAGGGCAGTAGAAACGGCTTCTGATTGGCTTATTCCGAATTTGGGTACGGTGATTAATCAAACGAACTAGCTATCAACAATAACAGAAACACAGTTGATGAAGCATGAAACAATATCTATAATTCCAAATGATTGTTAACGGCAAATAAAACTACCGCAAAAAATATGTTAATATATTAATATCTCAAAATTACAATAGCAATAAATACACTGAGAAATGCTATAGATTCAAAAATGCAATAAATAATAATAAACTTCAAGAGGAAACAGGGACATTTCAAAATCAGTAACTCAACTGAACTTTTCAAATTGTGCCAAACTAGGTAATTTTCTTGTATTATAATATCAGCAATATTTTAATTTAATATTAACATGAAATATATCATATTTTCAGCTTTTTTAATTGAAAAATGTTCTCCCTGCACAACTCTTAACGTGGGAATAAAAGGGAGCTCATTCCCAACAAGTATATTAGTTTTGAAAGACTTCTGGCTTA